AACTAGTATATGTCTGAGACAAGCAGAAATGGTCAGATAAGTTGATGTTAGGCGAAATGAACCCTAACATAGGACTTAAATAGTTAAATGGTTTTTCTTTCTTGCTGTTGTATCTAACATACTTATAAGATGATTTCTTTGTTGCTTTGTATGTCCCTCCCCAAAGGTACAACCCTGTTTTCACTGTATTTGATGTTGTTATAATTTCTGGAGGGGAAGGGAAAAAACAAATCATTTAAATAGGGATACAGGTGGACCTATTGCAACAATGAGATGTACAAGATGTTATGTAGAAAAACGAACTTTACAACTTTGGTGGGGGGGGGGAGGAGAGGGAGCAGGAGGGTTGGGAAGGGATGGTAAGGGGAAACAAAGGAGGCAACAATGCTTGATAAGAAATGAACTCATTACCTTGCTCATGTAATTGTAACCCCTCTGTACAGTATTTTCACACACACACAAAAAAGTATGGATTGAGAGGCATTGTTCCAATGGAAGTGATTTTTGAAGCCTAGATTATTTTTCTTTCTGTAACAAAAGGATATTTCTGTCCTGTTTCCTTTAAGTTTCTCCAAAAGGAGTTTGAGGTGGGGTCCCTTCAGCAGTTTGGGTCTATGGAGGGAGTCAGGAGGTGAACTGACCCTTGGAAAGAGAAAGGAGTGAGTCCAGTGACTCCTGACATTATCTTCTCCAAGTTTCCGTACCACTATGTAAGGTTCTCCAAAAGGAGACTGCCATGGTTGTTCAGGCCAAAAAGTTTAGGGTAACCAAACTACAGGTCCACACAGATGGAGGTGTGTAGAGACTGACTGATGGCAGAACTGAGGTTATGTAGGGAGAGGGCAGGAGGGCCAGGTGAGGACTTGACCTCAGAGGAAGAGGAAGTGACCTCAGAGCCTGGGGGACCTCCTGCTGCTCCCAGGTCCATTACCTGGGACCCTGAGTGGGAACTTCTAGGGAAGAGGTTTCATGCACACAGAGGGAAAACAGGGAAGAGGTCCTTTTCCTGGGCAGATGGAACATTTCCATGCCTTTGAAACCTCTTAAGTCTTCCCTACAGTGATCTCCCAGTACTTTCACAGTGGCTGCCAAAGTCATTCCCTTTTCCTGTCAGGCCTGATGATCTGATAGATCTTCCATTGCTTTTGTGTACCTTAGAGAATAGGTGTATTTCTAAATATCTCAGTATTAAGCCACTGTCCTATATTAATGACATCAAAATTAGTTTCTCTAATGTCATTTACATAGTTTTTTCAGCTATTTTTATTAGAATACATAGAACAAGGGAGGTTCATAGAGAAACATCTACCAGTGTTTTTTCATGTACTTTTGTGTGTGTGTGTGTGTGTGTGTGTGTGTGTGTGTGTGCGCACATGCACCCACACACAGATACTGAAGCTTGAACTCAGCCTGGGCACTGGCCCTTAACTTTTTTTTTCCTCTCAAGGCTAATATTCTACTACTTGAGCCTGACTTTTTTTGATAGCTAATAGGAAATAAGAGTTTCATGGACTTTCCTGCTTGGGCTGGCTTTGAAACTCCATCCTCAAATCCTACCTCCTGAATAGGAAGGATTATAGGTGTGAGTCACCAGTTCCCAGCTGTTTTATTGTTTTTCTTATTTTTGCTTTAATTTGTGTATCACTGATTTTTATAGTTACATGTTTTGTGTATAACCTAGTTGGAGATAATGGAGTCTCTTAAATTTTGATAGCTATTTCTTACTCAATTTTATAATTTCTCAGCCATTATTATTATTCTTTTTTGTGGGTCATGGGGCCTGAACTCTGGGCCTGGGCTCTGTCTTTCAGCTCCTCAGCTCAAGGTGAGTGCTCTACCACCTGAGACATAGCACCACTTCCAGCTTTTTCTGCCTATGTGGTGCTGAGGAATCGAACCCAGGTCCTCATGCATGCAAGGCAAGCACTCTACCACTGAGCCACCTTCCCAGCCCTCAGCCATTATTTTTATTTAGATCTATTAAAACATTTTCGACTGGCATGCATAATAGTTCAAGGTGTATTTTTTTAATATAACTCTCCATAGATGAGTGCTTTAGATGGGTGCTTATTATATCTCATACTCCTCTCCTACCTCTTCCAAGTGTTTAATGGGTTTCATTATGCAATCATCATACATATACATAGCAATATATACTTTGATCCTCTTCACTACTCAGTACCCTTTCCCCCTTCTGTTGAACACCATCCCCTCAAGGTCCCCTTTTTACATTCACATTTTTTAAAAATTTTTACTTTTTTGTTGGTCATGGGGCTTGAACTCTGGGCCTGGGCACTGTCACTCAGCTCTTCAGCTCAAGGCCAGCACTCTACCACTTGAGCCACAGTGCCACTTCTAGTTTTCTGAGTGGTTTATTGATAAGAGTTTCATGGCCTTTCCTGCCTGGGCTGGCTTTGAACCGTGATCCTCAGATCTCAGCTTCCTGAGTAAGCTAGGATTATAGGCGTGAGTCACCAGCGCCCACCTCATTATTATTTTTATAACATCATTGTCATCATCATCATCATCATTATTTTAGGTTTTGATTCTACAGATAAAAAAATGTGTGTTATAAAAAAAAATGTTTGTAGCCGTGTGCCGGTGGCTCACACCTGGAATCCTAGCTACTTAGGAGGCTGAGATCTGAGGATCAGAGTTCAAAGCCAGCCCTGGCAGAAAAGTCCATGAGACTCTTATCTCCAGTAAACCACTAGAAAACTGGAAGTGATGCTGTGGCTCAAGCGGTAGAGCGCTCGCCTTGAGCTGAAGAGCGCAGGGATAGCGCCCAAGCCCAGAGTTCAAGCCCCACGACCAAAAAAAAAAAGTGTTTTATTTGGCTTTTTGGGCTTAGATTATGTCAGTCAGTATGAAATGATATCCAGTTCTATCTATTTTGCAGTAAATCACATAGTTTCATTTTCTTTATGGGTCAGCCATCATTACTGAAATTTTTACCTAATTTATACATGTTTTTGTTCGCAATTTTTATTTCTGTTCATATTCTCATTCACCTTATTCAGTTTTCTGTGTTCTTGTTTAGGCTCATTAAACATCTTTTCAATAGTTTTTTTTTTTTTTAGTTCCTTAGGTAGTTCATGAATCTTAAGCTTCCTGATGGTCAGTTTCTAATACTTTATTTTGTTCTTTAGAACTACATTTTCTTTTGGTTTGTTTTTTTGTTTTTTTGGGTCCGATCATGGGGCCTGAACTCTGGACCTGGGCACTGTCCCTCAGCTCTTCAGCTCAAGGCTAGTGTTCTACCACTTGAGCCACAACGCCACTTCCAGCTTTTTTCTTTTTGCTTATGTGGTGCTCAGGAATCGAACCCAGGGCCTCTGGTAGGCATGCACTCTACCACTGAGCCACCTTCCCAGCCCCAGAACTACATTTTCTTTTGTTTCTTTTCTTTTGGTGGAAAAATAGATTTATAATGAGCCAGCTGGACTCAGTTAGGTGATTGCAGTTTTGTTGGCAACATCTAAAGTATCATCATCAGGTGTCAGTGGAACATATGCCTTCTCTCCATCAGGTCTGGTCAGGGAATTGCCCTTCCCCACGTCAGTGTCACGGTTTGGTCTGATGCTTGTTGGCTGTGACATGAACACATGAACACAAGTGGGTGGTTGTCCTCTGTTTTCTTCATGGCTGACTCAGTGCACAGGGGGAACTGGATGATAGCACAGTGGTCCACTTGTTTCTCCTCGGAGCACTCTTCACAGGTATTTGGGCTGTCTTCATTGTGCAGAGTCTCGGGCTGCTGGAAGGTGGATGAAGTGCATATTCTCTTCTTTTTGTGGCTGTGGACACCTTTCAGCACTGCCTTCTTGGCTTCAAAGCCTTTTACTTGGCTTCTGCTTTAGAAGTGGCAGGAGCTCCCTTCTTTGCTTTCGGCGCCATCTTGGTGAAAAGGCTCTTTTGTTTCTTTGTATGCTGTGTTAACTTGGTTGGTTTGTCCATTTAAAACACCAGCAGTGCTGGGCACCAGTGGCTCATGCCTGTGATCCTGGCTACTTTGAAGGCTGAGATCTGAGGATCATGATTCAAAGCCAGCCCGGGCAGCAAAGTCCGTGAGACTCTTATCTCCAATAAACCACCAGAAAACTGGAAGTGGTGCTGTCTCAAGTGGTAGAGTGCTTGCCTTGAGCTGAAGAGGAGGGACAGTGCTCAGGCCCAGAGTTCAAGCTCCACAACCACCACCACCAACAACAACAAAAAAAAAAAAAAGAAAAGAAAAAGAAAAAATCCTGTCAGATCTCTAAATCTAGATAATGAAAATTATAAAATGTATTGAAAACAGTTAAATGGCTTAAATAAATGGCCTTGGATATATACCATAGATAGTAGAAGGAATATTTAAAGGCATTTAGTTTGATTCAATGCAATTCCAATCAAAATCCCAAAAATGATTTTGAAGAAGTTTGTCTTGAAATTTATATGGCACAATGAAGGGTCAAGGCACTCCTGAAAAAAACATATATGGTGATAGAACTTGCCATATTCAATTTCAAGACTTACTATAAATCTTTGTTGGTAAGCAACATGTCATTGGCCCAAGGACTGATTGACTTCTGACAGATTCCCTGTAGGGAAACTTGATTTGTGCGTAAGAAGGAACTGAGAACCCTGGGTGGGTATTGAGACATTTGAGTCTACATAATTATCATCCTTAGTTCTCATCATTCATCAAGATAAATTCTACATGGGTTCTGGAAATAAATGTAACAAGCAGGCAACTATCTTTCTAACCTTTCTAGGGTATAGAGGAATCTTCAAATTCCCCTCAAAAGTGCTAAACTCATAGTTAAGGCTGGATATTTGAGAATATCTGTTTGGAAAGAAGGAAGGAGGGAAGGAAGGAAGGAAGGAAGGAAGGGAGGGAGGAAAGGAGAGA